GAGATAAATTATTAGTTACGTCTGCTATGTAGACAATTCACAACACCACCGCCTTAACCTATAATTTTCTATGGGAGTTCTGATTATATCGAAAATAAATAAGTATTCATGGAACAGTCAATTTATCGAGACATCTGATCGATGTTATCGTATAATGTTTCAATTGTTCTACGTGTTGTCAGGCCATCGAGCAAAAAGACAAAAGAGGGAATCTAATCCTTATGAAAAGGAGACCAAAAAAGTGGCCTCTGATGGCGGACATATCCGGAACTGCGAATGCGCCAAATTTAAATTTTCCGACACTTATTAACAGTAACTATATAATATTTTTCAAAATGTGTCTTAGACGAGAAAGTTTTAATTAATTATTAACGGTAATAGTCTAAAATGCGACACAATTGTTAAAAAACTTCAATATAAATAAGATTTCATGTGACATTTGGGACAAACAATAACATAATCCAACTAAATTTGATGTCAAACAAGGAGTGAGACTCTCTTTCCTTGTTTAATGTGGCCTCTAAAGATCGCACTTCCTGTCTAACAATATTTTGCCCCCACTACCTTTACATTCCCTCTTTTGTCTTTTTGCTCTATGTGTCAGGCACTTCAGTTTGAGACTCAGGGGAAACACCTAGTTTAGGTTGTATCGGCGAAATTGGGAATTGAAGGGAAAAAGTTAGGTTTATGGTTTTTTATATTGAGATTTATTTTATTTAAGCAATTTAAGGAGTTATTTTGAATAAGGAAAACGTTTTATGTTAACCTAATTTCTTGGTAACTTAAGATTTGAATCTTGTCCTGCCATTTGGCAAATTTGTTTTATTTAATTCCTTTTACCATTGTTAAAATTGTATTTCTAGGAAAATTCCAGTTTTAATATTACTCAAATTTAAAAATAAATTTAATTAATATTCAGCTTCTATTTTCTACTAAAATATCACAAATCTATCAAGTTAAACGTGTGTGACTTTCATTCTTTTTGTCGATCCTTTTTTATTTACCTACCATATAAACACCTTTTTCAAGGGAGAAAAAAACAACAGAGTAAATAAGAGGTTCATTTTTTATTCGGCCAATCCAGGTACTGGAATAACTTTAATTTAATTTTGGTATCAACTTGGGAATAATTTTTATTTACTTTTTTGGTTGTCATTTCCGTTTGGGGACTTCTCCCCTCAGAATTTAATACGAATTCAGACCAGATAATCATATGCCTTTTTACATGACCATGCCACAGAATAATAAACAATCAGAATGCCCACTCTCCGTGGAAAATTAAGTACGCGCATCTCCTTCGCGCAGACGTTCCGCCATGTTTTAGAGGGAACTAGTGTTGTTTATGTGGTGTACATAGAAAAATTAACCCGGTTTAATTGACTTACGGCAATCATAGACATACTATACAATTATATTAACATTGTTAAATATAATAACATAAATATAATATAATTAAACATAAATATAAACAATTACATAACCTCATAAATCATATGTATGTGTTATGTGTTTCCTTCTAAAACATGGCGCGCGTGCTGAAAAACTTCAAAGGCGGCATCTGAGAGTGGACATTCTGATTGTTTATTATTCTGTGACCATGCTGTGATACAAGAGATTCGATGGGACCATTTGGAAGTTTTTTGTTCCCGACCATCCAGAGTCCTACCGGAACATGTCATCGGTTTTACTATAACGTTACCTTAATATTTTGTTGTATTTAATATTCAAATCATATTTAGCCATACGGCTTACATCTTCCTAAGGGAAAAATTTACTCACTTTTAGATACCTACGGTATCAAAAGGATTGAGCTCTGGTGGGACCCTTTCGTGTTATCGAGTCCTAGGTGACGTGATACGTCGTTGTATCTTCCAAAAATTTTCGTACGCATCTGGACGTCGAGAGTAGTACAGCTTTCTGCACGATCTTATAGAAATGTTCATTTGGACCCAGTTTTTTATATTTTCTAGCAGGTTCTTCGGAATGACTCCAGTAGGAAAAAGAATAATAGGTATCGTCTGGGTACTTTTCATTATCCATTGTCTCCTTATTTGTATTTCCAGATCTCTGTACTGCCACATCGATTAATGTTATTTGCCTCGTTAGTTTATTAACTGGTACGAGATCTGGTCTATTATGTGCTACTGTTTGGTCTGTCCTTAACTGAAGCATCACTGAAGAGACTCGAAGCATTTGAGATGTGGTGCCATAGACGCATGTTGAGGATTTCCTGGACAGACAGAATTGCCAATGAAGAAGTACTAAATATAATGGGTAAAGAGCGCGAACTAGTCGTAACCATTAAACGTCGCAAACTGGAATACCTGGGCCATATAATACGCAATCAACAACGATGTGACCTAGGTACTTCGGACCATACTTCAAGATAAAGTGCATGGGAAAAGAGGTCCAGAATTTGAAGAAGAATATCCTGGCTGCATAACCTGCGAAAATGGTTTAACTTAACCACTACCGCGGACCGGACTTTTCGGGGCAGCAGTCAACCCTGCTGCCAAGTCAGAATAGCCATGTTAGTGTCCAATATCCGTAACGAATAGGCACCATAAGAAGAAAAAGTTTGGTCTGTGAGATCCCAGTGTAGCTTGTAGATCATAATATGAGGGATGGTTTGTTTGAAGTAGTCCTAGTTTGAAAGCTATCTCTTGATGAAGGATCTTCCCTACTAAGTCATGCCGTTCAGTATATTCAGTTACAGCAAATGCCTCGTAGCCCCCGGTAAGATGTTTGATGGATTCTTGGGCTTGACATCCATATCGACATTTGTCGTTTTGGACGTGAGCGTCTTTCACGATATATTTCAGGTAATTTTTGGTTGATATAACCTGATCCTGAACGGCAAGTAATGAACGTTCTGTTTTAGGCAACATATTTCCTGATGTTAACCTATAGTTTGACGCTGTGTTGTCGATATCAACTTGACTGACTTCATTGGGATGTCGTCCATGCAGAGGTTTACCCCTTCAAATGCGTATTTTTTGTTTTTAGTTAGATGCTTTATGCACATGTCTGGTTGCCCCAGTTTGAAATATGTTGTGTCATCTACTGCGCAAATCGCGCGATGTAGAGTAGATGTCTGAGCCACAGTATAGTGCTTTAAAAAGAATTCTCTTAAAGCACTATACTGTGTCTGAGCCTGCATCTGAAGTTCTTAAAATAGTAATATGTTCTTCCAATTGCTAACTTACATCCCTAAGTCCTCGTCCTCCTAAATACCGCAGTAATGTCGTCCTTTCTATTGCACTTCGAGGATGGTGTGTTTGTGCCTTTGTGAGGTGTGTTCGTATTTTTCGCTTAAGACTTTCTATATTGGTTTTATTCCACTGGTTAATTCCACAATAAATGCTAAAACCTGGTCAGTGGAGTTCAATAGCTGGTATGGTGGGTTCATCGGTAGACAGAACCACAATGGACTCAAAGAGTCTAATGGGAATAGGCTGCGGTTAATTATGATATTTAAAGTTTCGATATTGTCACCAGGTATTTAAAGGTGAATTTTAGTCTTCCAATCTATCATTATATGTCTTAAAAAGATTTTATATATTTTAGTATATCTACAATTAAAACAAGAAAATTGGAATATCTCGGACATATTACACGTGGAGAGGAGTACAGCTTGCTCCAACTGATTATGCAGGGAAAGATCCAAGGAAAGAGAAGCATAGGGAGGCATAGAATATCATACACAACCTGAGAGAGTCGTACGGATGTACATCAAATGAACTTTTTCAGAGCAGCCATCTCAAAAGTACGATGTCAAGTGGCGTTTCTTAGGAAGGAGTATGTATGTATTGACAGTGACAAGCACGCTGTTCTCAACCTTCTTATTAAAGGGCACTTCACATGCTCAGTCGGTCAGATAGCTTAGCGGGCTGTGCGGCTGCCTCTCATTCGTTTCACTGTCGAATGGTTTAGTGGATGTGGGATCGAGCCCAAGCTCGGTGTACAGAAAACAAAAAGTCTAACGCAGCAGTTTAAAATTCTAGATGAATCTGCGGCTTAGACTAGGATATGCTGGGATCTGATCGGCCTATGGTGGAGCAGTACGGCAAGAGATAAGGGCTTGCGGCTCGGTGATACTCCTCCATAGATCCCTACCGGACAGGCGTAACGCCTAAAAAAACCGGATATATATATATATATATATATATATATATATATATATATATATATATATATATATATATATATATATATAACTTCACAAGCTTACTTGTGACAAAGTTTATACAATACTTTAGAATGTTTTAAGGTCTTTCTTCTTTTTCTTACTTTGTAACTTAAAGCCTATTTTACTTGAATTTTTATAAATAAGGAACCTTGGGGATTTTTTTAAATACTTCCCTATTTTCACTTGTATATAGTTTGGCAGCACAACTGGACGAGTGTCAACCAATTTTAAAAGGTGGAGAGATTTCTAAGAAAGAAATTTCATTTATGGTTATCATTGTAAATAGGCTTCAACTTTTTATTATTAAACAGGTTATACAGAAAATAATATTTTATTTTATTACTTTTTTTTTCTTTACAGTTACCCAAAGGATTTCTTTTGCATAATATATGTCACAACTTGGCGAAGGTTATTCTATATACTTCCTTGACACCGAAATATTTACTTTCAGTAAGGACTCCGTACACCTTATGTATTATTTTCATTTTCTTAAGTTTGTTATTGCTTTGTTCAATATTCTACGGTCTTTTACAGGCATGCAAACAGTCCGATTACATCCTTGAGTATTCTAGTTGTCGCTCTCCTGCATTAAGCCTATTTGTTTCATTTAACCGGACATTTTTATAATTCCCTTATTACATTCATTGTAACACCGGCCATGTGTTCCTTTTTTCCACCTTTTTGTTACATTGGCCCCTTGTAAAGTGGGTCCTTTTTTTATAGTTTAGCGAATCAAACACAAAGACTGACAAACCTTGCTCCTACAACATGAATATCTCTAATTATATATAGTTAATGAATGATTTTGTCAGTAAATTAAAGTTTCTTTATTAACATACACAAAAAAAAACAACATACATTTCAACAATTTTTTTAACAAAAACTAATACACATGGCGGCAATTAAACTATTAAGATGGTTTCCAGTTAGGATTGGCGTGGATCAAGATCTTAACTGGGTTGCCTTCTTGAGTCTTAGCGGTAGTAAATGCCTTTACTGAGTCTTCTAGTTTATAGTGGTGGGTCACCAAAGGTTTGACATTTACTCTTCCAGATCTGACTAGCTCAATAGAGGTGGGGTAACTGAAAATTAAAAAAAAATATGTAAATTACCGAATTCTAATAATATATATAATATATATATATATATAATATATATATATAAATATATATATATATATATATATATATATATATATATATATATATATATATATATATATATATATATATATATATATATATATATATATATATATATATATATATATAACCAAAAGGATGATAACGGGTACGAGTACTATGTAGTGAAAAGGAGATAATACTGGGACGTACCCTTTTATAACTCAAGAAGGAAAATAAAACTAGGGTGCTTCGTTCGATGTGCTTTTAATTAAAGGTCTAAGCTTTCGTCAATGATTATTGACATCATCAGAGTAAACCTAATTCTAGCAAGTAACTCAGTGACTTGGGTTGAACACAAAGAAAGTATTGTCTAAGTATATATTAAACATAGTTGCAGAAATGGTATCCATAGTTTACAATGTGTTTTTATTTAATTATAAACGATATATTTACTATAAATCTAACCACAAACAATTTAAAAATTTTACTAGTAAAATTTTTAAATTGTTTGTGGTTAGATTTATAGTAAATATATCGTTTATAATTAAATAAAAAACACATTGTAAACTATGGATACCATTTCTGCAACTATGTTTAATATATACTTAGACAATACTTTCTTTGTGTTCAACCCAAGTCACTGAGTTACTTGCTAGAATTAGGTTTACTCTGATGATGTCAATAATCATTGACGAAAGCTTAGACCTTTAATTAAAAGCACATCGAACGAAGCACCCTAGTTTTATTTTGCTTCCTCAGTTATAAAAGGGTACGTCCCAGTATTATCTCCTTTTCACTATATATATATATATATATATATATATATATATATATATATATATATATATATATATGTATAAGGATCACTCAGACGAGTGGTGGGTTCTTATATCGGTCTCTAGGTGGAGAAATAAAAGACAAAGTTGATAGGCTACTTTATCTATTTTGAAGACGTTTCGCTTTCGAGTTTTGAAAGCATCATCAGTTCATCTAAAAAATTACAATATGAGAACCACACAATCATGGAAACGATGTTAATTGTTATGCTACCTAAAGTTAAAATGTAATGCTACCTAAAGTTAAAATCAAAGCTTAATATTCATATAAATAGTTGGAAGTTATCTATGATTTTCTTGGTTCTTTCTCACTAATTAACATTAAATAACATTTAATTTACTTTAGACCACATGGTCATTTGCTGTGCTAATTTTATAAGTTCATATATGTTGTTAGTTACTTAATTGTTTATACAAAATCAGCGTATTATGTCCATTTACTTAGTTTCATTCACATTATTAATAACATTGACTGCTACATGTCTTTTTAAGTTAACAATTAACATCGTTTCCATGATTGTGTGGTTCTCATATTGTAATTTTTTAGATGAACTGATGATGCTTTCAAAACTCGAAAGCGAAACGTCTTCAAAATAGATAAAGTAGCCTATCAACTTTGTCTTTTATTTCTCCACCTAGAGACCGATATAAGAACCCACCACTCGTCTGAGTGATCCTTATACATATTGGATTGACGGTCGTACTCCTTTTTCCGATATATATATATATATATATATATATATATATATATATATATATATATGTTGTTATATGTATATATATATATATATATATATATATATATATATATATATATATATATATATATATATATATTTGTGGCTTCTGTCCCAAATGTTCCAGTCAATGTATTGGATATTAAGTAATAGACTATTCCAATGGAATGTCATTCACGTCTTTTTGTATACTTAACATACCTATGTATTTAAGTACTTATTAAGTGTTATAAGCTTCCCTAATTATCACAAAAGACCAGCATATTAGTTATAGGTATACTAAATATGATTCACATTCATCCATGAAAACGTCTCTGCTTCTCTCTATCTCGCTCTCTCATTCTTTCCTTATCTTATAACTGTAAATATATACATTAGTAATACTAGAATCTCACAGACTTCACCTATATTCGACTACAATACTGCCATTTGTCCTTCATCAACCAACATTCTGCGTCCAAAGTTGAACATAAGCATCACCTAATCTCTTCCAGTTCTGTCGATCTTGAGATTCCTGCAGCCAATTCATAGCGATTCTTTTGGCGTCGTCTGTCCATCATGTGGGTGATCTACCTCTGCTTCTTCTGTCTGCTCTTGGTCTCCACACAGTAATTTTTTGAGTCCACCGTCTGTCATTCATTCTGGCCACAGAGCCGCCCACTTACAATTCATAGGTGATATGCGCTCTATGACATCTGTAACGCCTGTCCTGTCCTCCTTATTTCCTCGTTTCTAACTCTGTCTCTGCGAGTCAGTCCAAGTAACGACGGCTTCATTATTCTTTAGGTTGCTCTGAGTTTGGTAGCTGCGGCATGTGCAACTTATCCTTATATTTTCTAAATCCAAATTATGTTGTTCCTTTCTCATATTTGGAAATAATTATAAGATCACAATATCCTCGGGAGAGAGAACATCTTTAATATTGAAATTTTTTATCTATAGTACGACAATATACCCAGACATCAGTTCTAAACTAACATAAACATAAAATATCACTTACTCGTTAACATATCTGAATGTTCCTCTAACGTCAACTTCTTTGATTAAGGCGTTAGTCAATGGAAGAGTCATTTCAATTTTACCTAATCCTACTAGTACTACGCATCCATTTGTTCCAGTTGCCTAAAAAATGTAATAGGATTATTTAGAGGAGAATATTAGCGAGACGCAGTTCGGGTTCCGACCCGACTATTTGCCATCAACGTATTGATTCAGCGAGGTCGGGATGTAAACGTTTATCTACACTTGTGCTTTGTTGACTACGAAAAAGCTTTCGATAAAGTAAGATATGAAAAACTAATATCAATACATATAAATAAGCGCATTGACACTAAAATCGTAAATATAGTGCAAACATTATATTGGAACCAAAGTGCCATAGTTCAAATTGATGGGCAACACTCAGAAGAAATAAAGATCTGTAGAGTAGTTAGACAGGGATGTGTTTTATCGCCACTTTTGTTAGCGGGAGTTACCGTTAACGAAAAATTAATTAACAACTTATGATATGCATACACTGTGATCATAGCAACGAGTATAGAAGATCTACATCTTATCGAAAGCTTAGGTATGAATAGTGCTGAGATGGGAACTACTATAATCGCTATAAACGGAATTACTATAAAAAAACGAAGTACATGCTAATTACATAAACACCACAAAATATACATCACCCATTGACAATCAATAGTAACGTGATAGAACAAGTAGAAAAAATCAGCACTTGGGAACTTTGATCAATGATACCAATGATCATACTGCAGAAATAAACAGGCGAATAGAGATAACCAGATCAGCATTTATACGAATGAAGCCACTCCTAAAGTGTAAAAATCTAAATTTGGAGGTCAGGCTACATACCATTCGCTGTAATATATTTTCACTATTATTATATGGAGCTGAGACTTGCGACATTAAAAAATTTTATTTTTTATTATCCCGGTTTTTTATAGCGTTCTCCGCCTTCCGGTTCCCAGTTTCCAGCTACGTTGGTCATTCCATTCGCGAGGGTGAAGGTTTCTTTCCGATATTGCGTTCTGTATGTCGCCCAGCCAGGATTGTTTTGGCCTTCCTCTCTTCCTTCTTTCTCTTGGCGTCCATTTTAAAATTTGGTTTTAAAATTTCGTCAATGATGGTTGACTTGACTCCCATTATATTTCTGATATGGTCATTTTGTATTCTATCAAGCCTTGATTTTCTAGCTGATCTTCTCCAGAAGTCCATTTCCAATGCAAGTAGGCGTCGCTCAAGGGATTTAGGAAGTTGCCATGTTTCGCATCGATAGAGCACTATACTTTTAAAGATGGAGTTAAAGAGGAGATGCTTTCTTTGATTTGATAGTTCTTTTGACCGTAGCGTCGGGTTTAGGCATCCTATCACCCTTGTTCCTTTCACGATTCTTTGCTATATCTCTTTTTCGGTGCGCCCACTCTTGTTGATTGTTGTTCCCAAATATATATATTCCTCACAGTTCTTGATTGTTTCATGTTCGTTGACCATTAGATCTTCTACTTCATTCCCGATGCATAAGTATTGCGTTTTGTTTCTATTTACAGAGAGGCCCCATTCTTCATATGTTTTAAATAACCGTCTCGTCATGAATTCTAAATCTTCCTTGTCTGCTGCCACTACTACTTGGTCGTCCGCAAAATGTAGAGTGTATAATGTTGTATCGTCGTCAAGTTGGATCCCCATTCCTAAACAGGATCTTCTCCAGTGTTTTAGTGCTTCATTTCAATAGATCTTAAATAGTATTGGAGAGAGGCAGCATCCTTGTCGTAAGCCTTTTGTTACTGGAAATTCTTCTGATAAGGTGTTGTTTAGTTTGATTTTTGATGATGCTTTATTGTATAATTGTTTGACTGCGGCGGTGATCGTGCTATTTAATGGAGATCGTTCAAGAGACTGCCACAGCTTTCTCACAGGAATCGTGTCATATGCTTTTGTGAGATCCACAAATAAAAGATGTATTTCCTGGTTTCTTGCCACTTTCTTTTCATTCAGTTGTGTTAGGGTAAATATGTGGTCTAAGCAAGATCTTTCAGCTCTAAATCCTGCTTGCTGTTCAATTTCATGAGGTTCGTATTCTTTCTCAATCATGTTTTTTAAGATTTTACCAAACAGCCTGCTAAAGGTACTGGTGACAGAGATACATATGTAGTTTCCGCAAATATCTTTTGGACTTTTTTGGTGAATTGGAGTAATCCATGCTTCTTTCCAACTATTCGGGATTTCTTCCCCATTTAAGTATCTTGTGAATAGCACTTTAAGATAGCTTATTAGTTTTGGTGTTCCGTTTTTTAGAAGTTCTGCTGGTATGTTCTCCGGTTCGGATGCTTTGTTATTCTTCATTGATTTAAGCGCTTGTTATATTTGTTCTTCTTCCACGTTTACATATTCACCTTGTACTCGTATTCGTTGAGGTGAGTCAGTATTATAAATATCTCTGTCTTCATTCAGTTCCCTTGCGTTTAAAAAATGCAATTTAAAAATAATCGAGGCTTTCGAACTCTGGTTATACTGCAGAGTATTAAAAATATCATGGACTGATAAAATTACAAATAAAGAAGTACTGGAGAGGGTTGGTAAAAAAACAGAACTAATCACCACTATATAAACCAGAAAACTGGAATGCCTAGGCCACGTGATGAGAGGACCAAAATATGAAATTTTGAGACTCATAATACAGAGAAAGATTCAATAAAGAAGATCTGTTGGCTGAAGGCAGAAGGCCAAAGGCTCTTGGTTGAAGAATCTACGTGATTGGTATTAATGCAGATCGATTGATTTGTTTAGAGCAGCAAGTTCAAAAATAAAAATAGCCATTACGATTGCCAACCTCCTAAAGATCACTTTAATTTCTTTAATTATTTTACATAGTCCAATATAAGTTTGAACGTTTGAAAGGCATTTTAAACAACAATAAATGGTTGGAAAATATGATCTTCACAAACAGTTGCATCAGAGAGTGGCAACCAATTATAAATTTAGGATTTAATATCTACTATAAAGAAATATAAAAAAAAACGACAATATAAGAATAAAGTGTTTTGTCTGAAGGTACAGTAACACAAAAATGAGTCATATAAAATTGAGTCGTTTCTGTTATTCTTTTGAAGTAATTTTATCAAATCACATTCTCGTTGACTTTAAAAGGAGTTTTGTTGACGATACATAATTACTAAAGTGGTAAGGCCCCCGGTCCTGATGAAATTCCCGTAGAACTGCTCAAACTTATGGACGATGAATCTATTAAAATACTCCTAGATCTATTTAACACAATATATAGAACTGGAATAATACCTAGGGAATGGCTCCGTTCGACCTTTATACTACTGCCAAAAAAGGCAAATACAAAGGAATGCAACGAATATCGTACGATAGCTTTGATGAGTCATGCTCTAAAACTGTTCTTAAAAATAATCCATAATAGGATCTATAGGAAATTAGACGTAGACATCAGTAACACTCAGATGAGATTCAGAAAAGGGCTGGGTACAAGGGAGGCTCTGTTTCCAATGAACGTTCTCTCACAGAGATGCTTAGACATGAACCAAGAAATTTACGCCTGCTTTATTGATTTCGAAAAGGCCTTTGACAAAGTACAACATGAACAACTAAGACAAGTTCTAATAAAGAAAAATATAGACAGCCGAGATATTCGAATTATATGCAATCTATATTGGAATCAAACAGCAAATGTCAAGGTTGAGGGCAGACTAACAGAAGAAATTCAAATCGGTCGAGGAGTCCGGCGGGGAGTATCTTATCGCCACTTTTATTTAATCTGTATAGTGAAGCTATCTGTGAACAAGCACTCGAGGAAGAAGATCTTGGTCTGATAATAAATGGTGAGACGATCAACAATATAAGGTATGCTGACGATACAGTTCTCCTAACGGGAACGCTAGTAGAACTACAACATCTCGTTCAAAGTCTCAATATATACTGTAACAGTTACGGCTTGAAAATTAATTTGAAAAAAACTAAATTTATGGTAATCACGAAATCAAAGAACATCAGAGCTAATCTTGTAATAGACAATACAACGATTGAGCGTGTGCCCTGTTATAAATATCTAGGTGCTTGGATCACAGACGATACTGATCAAACAAAAGAGATTAGATGTAGAATAGAAATCGCTAGGTGAGTCTTTAATAGAATGCGCAAACTCTTTTGCAATCGTGATATCAATATAAAGTTACGAATACGAATGCTGCGGTGTTATGTCTTTTCTACCCTGTTATATGGAGTTGAGGCTTGGACACTAAAACAGTTGACCATAAAAAACATCGAAGCTTTCGAGATGTGGTGCTATAGGCGCATTCTCAGAATATCATGGATGGACCGCGTCACTAACACGCAAGTACTCCAAACTTTAGACAAAAGATGCGAAATTCTAAATGAGATAAAAACTAGAAAGATGGAATACTTGGGGCACATTATGAGAGGTGAAAAATACGAACTTTTAAGAAACATCATGTAGGGCAAAATTAAGGGCAAAAGAAGTGTGGGAAGAAGAAAAATATCGTGGCTTCGTAATCTACGTGAATGGTTCGGGTGTAGTTCGATTGAACTTTTTAGGCGTGCTGCTAACAAAGTCGCAGTGGCCATGATGATTTCCAATCTCCGCTAGGCGTGGCACGAGAAGAAGAAGAAGAACGGAAAGTTAAAAAGAGCTATCCAGGATACGTTTATGTAGGTGGTTAGATATATCCTTGAATTTGAATTGTACAGTTGAAGTAAGACATTAAAGAAAAAATGGACAAAAATAAGAAATCTTCTTGGTTAAAAAATACATTCTATAAGGGTGTACATCTACCTATATTTAACAATCCTTAAAGAATAACTTTAAATAGTAAAAAGAGCCCATTCGAAAACTATTAAACTGTTTTTTATGATACGAAATAAAGTAGATAATTTATTGATTAAAATTATTATATCTAAAACACTGCTTATCCTTATTATAAATCTTAATTTTATAATATGAATAAATATATGCTGGTATGTTATTTTTGGTATTTGACCTTCTCATTGACTTTATCTTAATTAATAAATTTGCATTCATTGCTCGTTGTGCAGTAGGTCAAAGATGTGTTGATAAAAAATTCACAAATATATAAATAGACATATTTTTATATCACTGGATCATAAACACTATCAGGATAAATCCATTGTTTATATTTTCGGATTTTTTATTCCGTTATTGATACAAAATGGACGCACAAATCAGTTCTTGTTGAAAATAACAAAGTTTAAGAAAAAGGTATTTGTATCTTCGTACAAATACCTTGGAGCATGGATCACAGAAGATACTGATCAGACAAAAGAAATAAGATGCCGCATTGTATGGAGGTATTGCGATTCTCTACCCTTTTGTATGGAGTTGAAGCTTGGACACTTAAAAAATCCAACATTAAAAACCTAGAAGCATTCGAAATGTGGTGTTACCGACGCATTTTGAAAATATCATGGATGGATCGCAAAACAAACGAACAAGTTCTCGAACAACTAGGAAAACAATGCGGAAGTTTTAAATTCCATAAAGATCAGGAAATTGGAATACTTGGGGCACATCATGAGAGGTGAAAAGTACGAACTACTAAGGAATATAATGCAGGGTAAAATCAAAGGTAGAAGAAGCGTAGGAAGACGTAAAATCTCGTGGCTACGCAATCTCCGTGAGTGGTTTGGATGCAGTTCAATTGAACTATTCAGGCGAGTAACCAATAAAATTATAATTGCCAGAATGATTTCCAATCTCCGATAGGAGTGGAACTTGAAGAAGAAGAAGAAAAAGTAGACAATAACAGATGTAATTGTTATTATAGTGCAAATCAAGGAAATGCTCTGGAAACTGCCCACATTTGCTTTACCACAGCGTCGGTAGCATCCAGTACGTCTGTAGTTTCCTCCGTTGTATCCAGTGTTCCCGAAAATGTGCCGTGTAAATCTAATTTAACCCTCTTTATATCATTCGTCCAACGTGTCTGAGCTCTTCTCCGACTATATACATGAAATCTAGGAAGTCACTTCATTATCCATTTAGTCTATCTAACGTCATTCATTCTTGCCACGTCTACCGCAAAGTTCAACTTCATATATGCGATTCTTTCCAACTCTAATCTCCGTTATGGCTCTTATAACGACATTTGGAACTCTATCTCTTAGTGCTAATACCAACCTAGAGCCTTTCATGCCCTGCTAAGACACTCTGATATTTCTAAAGCCTTTTTAGTCATTGCTAAAAAGTCTGCAACAGGAGTCAATATTGGGAGCAAGCATTGGTTAAAAACCTTAAGTGGTTTAAAAAACCATATTACCGAAGTACCTGGGTGCGACACTTGTCAAAACATTATTTTTTAAAGTAAATTTAAAACAATATGGTTCACTGTTAGGTCTAAAACTTCCCATGGTACTAGATCATGAGTCTTTGAGCAAACATGTAATTATAACAAATATACAGCTGTGTTTCAAGCTGAAGTATTTGATTTGGTGGTCTGCATTGAAGAAATCTTTAATAGAGACCCGAAAACAAAGAAAATCAGCATTTATACAGATAGTCAAACAGCTGCTATTTCCGCTATAAAGAAACTACTCACCAAATCAAAACTGGTGAGAAAATGAACTTCATCAAGAACCTGGCACGCAACACACAATAAATTGTCTTTAATATCGGTGCTGTTAAGGGGTGCATAGGAATGAACCAGCAGATTTGTTGGCAAAACAAGGCTCGAGCGAAATCTTTGTAGGTCCCGAACCATTGTGTGGCATCACCAAAGATGCAAGAAACGAGAATCACAAGTGGCTGATAAGGAATCATAAAAAAATGGAGAGCCAAATCCAGACTAAGAAAATAATCGAGAATATTAATAAAAAACTCTCGGACAATTTGATGAACCTCAATAAAAGAGAACTTAAAATTCGGTCATCGAAATAGTGACTGGACATTGTCGTTTAAAAAACACCTACACACAATTGGTAATTTAGGTGAACCATGGTGCAGAAAATGCGAAATGTAAGAAGAGACACATCCAACTTAATTGCAATGTGCTAATTTATATGAAGCAGGAAGTCACTGGTCAACTGAGGATTGAACCTGAAGAGATCCATAATTACCAATCAGAAAACTGTTGCGTTGAGGCTACAGAACTTATATTATATTGGGAGTTTAATGATAAAAAACACGGTTTGGTACAAGGACTTCTGACCAAGTACCAGATAATTAACTCTAAAAACTCTTATCTATAACGAATTGTAGAAAGTGGTTCTGAATTAATAGACACAATTTGAACGAAAAAATAAAAACAAAAATACATGTCTTAGACGAATTATGACATATTTCTTACGAAATAAACAACTATTAGAATAGTATCTTAACAAGATACAAACCTTTTTTAAGATGAACATATTCATATTGTACTGCGGGAATAACTGCGAATTACACTTGAGGGACAATCTACACAAAGGCCTTCTTCCCAGAAACCATTTAAAACATAGACGCATTATTACAGAATTATTATTCAAGGTATGTACAATATACAAGTTAACACTTCTTCAAAAAGAGATGAAGAAAGAAACCGTCGATGAGTTTGGTAGCCAAATTTCTAACTATATTCTCAGTTAAATGAACACCTATTTAAAATTAAATATTTCAAATACATTTTAATGTAAATATTGTCAAAATACTTACGGATACGCAAACTCTGACACATTGTTCGACTCCGGTACAGTCCAAGCTCTTATTTGGTTCTTGTCCCAAAAGTTGGATTACTTTTTTGACGATGTCTTCTTCAGACATACCCTTTTCTATTTTAATGGTATAATCTGCTCCCAATTTTTTAGCCATTTCTAATTTTACGTCCAAAATGTCTGCAAATATAATAAGTATAGCAGAGATCATATTTTTGTTAGCAAGATCGTATTAACTGAACAATAAATTGAAGGCACTAGAATATAATAGACTTATAGACTAGAATGACAGACAACTGTTAAAAAATATCTGAGAGCGAAATATTTGGAAAGTTCCAAAATCCCACTTGAAGTAATACGAAACATAAGTTAAATAAAATGGAGGAAAGGGAAAGTGTTTTGGGAGTAAATTGATTGTTGGTCAAGAAAAGCTATATCTTGACAACAACACCAACTATCTCAATCAAACGTGAAATATATAAAAGGAAAAAGTAATGAATTAAAAAAAGTAACATAAAGAGCAAAAGTAATATGTAGAAAATGATTTCTTTATGAAGGAAAAAAATTAATCGACTAGAAATTGAAACAATAAGGGAAGAAAAAAAAGAAACCAATTACTCAAAAGATAAAAAACTAACAAGTTTGCTGTCGTTTTTCATGTACAAACATAAATATATTTACAACGAAATTATTCGAAATGAAAAAGATAAAGAAAACAAAAACGAATATAAAACGTCAATATATAAATACCAGCAAACTGTAGTTATCAAAAAATAAAGTACGACAATGAAATGATAATGGTACGATAGAAAAAATAATGAAAGTTAACAAATGCATGTAGAATTTAAAAAAAGTTAAAACAGCGATAGATTTGCAACTGGCTGAATGACTAATGTCTATGCCATTAAAAAAAGCGATAAATACATCATACAGGGAACTACGGAATTTTTGTGAGATTAAGTCATTGTTTATAATGTATTAAGGATAATAAATCTTTTAAAAGTGACAGTGTTTACCTGTGATAACAACTTTTGAAGCTCCCATAGCTTTAGCCGATAAGAGGGTAACGAGACCGATTGGACCAGCTCCTGTAATAAGACAGACGTCGCCCACTTTAATTTCAGCTCGTTTGCAAGCGTGGACACCAACAGATAAGGGTTCCATCAAAGCACCTTCTTCGAGATCCATGTTATCAGGAAGTCTAAAAGTTAAAAAATTATGTTAAATATCAGATTAATAATTGGCTCTATCATAATGAAATTAATAATTGGCTGGCCTTCTGGCAATCTAATTAAAAATAATTTTAGTTTTTAGAGTTTTAAAAAATACTTAAGCTGTGGTGCAAATCAAGGGTGGTCGCACTTCTGAAACCAGCTAAAAGCACCCACCGAAGCCAAAAATTTTTTACCAGTTTTATTACTTTGCCACACTTTAAAAATTTTTGAACGGATGATACTCAACAGAATTTTCACTGTCATAGATGAGAAGCTAATATCAGAGCAGGCTGTATTAAGAACTGGAACGTCTTGCTGCAGCCAAATCCTGCATTTTGTACAGTATATCGAGAATGGCTAGTCAAATCATGAATTTTGTACAGTATATCGAGAATGGCTTTGTGGAAAAGGAAATAACGGGTGTAGCTTATATAGACTTAAGTGCCGCGTATGACACCATCAACCACCAAAAATTGCTAGAAAAGGTGTATAAAGGACCAAGGGGTTTAGTTGATAAAGTGCCAATTAAAATCTGCTCTGTCACTGCGAATACACAAAGGCAAAGACTTCCTCAATAAATCACATAATACTCGAAAAGTTGGGGATCTCAGCTAAGTGTGCTAAGAACATTCGATATAGCTTTTTGTTTCTCTACAGCGGAAGATTTAGCTCCGCTCATACTCGTCATGTTGACCATGTTATAAACCAGACGGCCCGAATAATATCCTGGTGTTTGAAACCTGCTCCAGTCCATTACTTATACCCTTAATCGAAATTGCTCCTCCAAACAGAAAAAAAGTGATTTCTGAGACCGAGAAGGAGCAAGAGAGTGACCCACGCCATCCCAAGTTTGGCCAGCGAAGGCACCCATCAAGGTTGAAATCTCATAGGAGATTCCTTAGTACAGCTTTGGAAAGAAGTGTCGGTTCGTAGTGCTTTAAGGTACTTTACAGACCATCAATTACCCTATACCACATAGATGTTTCTAAATAGACTCAGAACCGTTACGTCACGTTGTAGGTCAAACTTAAAAAGATGGAGCTATTCAAAAGATGACAAGTGTTCAAGTTCAAGTACATGTGCGTGGTCATAGCTTTAAATAGGTTTCTATCTTCGTCCCTCTTGAGTTTAGATAAAATTTCTCCCATATTTTCATGATGTGTTTGGAAATAGCTCTGGTATGCCTTCGGAACACTCGAGTATTGGACATTTTCTTTGCTCTAAAAGACTGCCACTCACCTTGTTAGTTTACTGGTTTGTAAGTGTCTAATGTACTATGTCTAATACATAGGTACTTGTAGGTATATTTGTAAATAAGTCTACTGTAGAAAGTAGGTACTTTGAACTACTCGGTATAGTTTTATGACATATAGAGTGATTCAATTCCATATTGGTACCGCCAATTTTTCTTAGGAAATTAGTGGTATTTGGGTAGTAGCTTTTGGATCTGGCAAAGGTTGTCAACGATCGGCCTGAACTTATATTTATGGAATTTGGAGAATGTTGCTGTGGACATATTTTGTGTAGTTGCCAAGTTCATGTCATATTTGGGATATATTTCCACAACAGTATTCCACAGGTACATTAAAATGATTCCTGAATCCACCCTGAAATAATGCAACATAAGGTATGTGTACTACATCGTCTTATGCACTACAATAAGTGTATTGTTGATCTTCGAGCATATTTTGTGTGACAGTGGCCTGTGAAATTTGTTATTTAGCGAAAAATTTAAGTAAATTTCGATATAAACTTTACTATGCGCCTGCAGAGACAGAAAAAGAGAACCAGCTAGATAAAAATCTTTCTCCCTTTTGGTTTTACTCTTTATTAACACTAGTTTTTTTTATTTAAGTGTCCAGAATTTGATTAAAGAAAGACTTCGAACAACACATGGGCATCATAGGCATAAGATAAGACAAAAAAATATATAATTAAAGAATATAAAATAATAGGAAGTCACTGTTGCCAAAGATATCGAAAAATAATAGAAAGTCTTTGCAGAACACAATAAAATTCATAACCGGTAATAGTTGCAATAAAAGACACATCGCTAATTACGTGTCTGTATTTATTTTTTATTTATTTACGTAAACTTTGTAATTCCAACTTAAAACGAAAGGGATTTAAACTAAAACACTTCAATTTACTTACTTCCAACAGAAATCAGCGTCATGTACGTAGTATCTGGAGAGATTACCATCATCAGGAGGAGTGGCACAGAAGAAGATATCGGGGCAGAGATGATAGGCACCAGTTTTACAGTGATGGCAGGTACGGCATGGTACACCAGGTTCGATGGCTACTCTGTCGCCTAAAATACAGATATTCATATTACTATCTCATTACACTCTTACTATACGCTATGCTATACGCGTACACTATAATACAAACTGTATTCCTTACAACTGTATTTAGGAAAATAAACTACTGTTACCTAAGTAAAAAAATTCTGTTAATTACCTGGTTTAAGATTCTTAACATTTTTTCCAACTTCTACAACTGTTCCTGAAGCTTCATGACCTAAAATAATTCACAAATATGATTTAAAAATGTCTATAATATGCCTAAAGAATATTATACAGTAATTTATAGACGCGAAAACCAGCACATCAGATGACATAAAGATCGAGGAGTTCTACGAAAAACTGGAGACCACAATCGCTAACATACCAAATAAAGAACTTACTATAATATGTGGCGACTTTAATGCAAAAGTTGGCAACACTACACAAAATGACGACTTAAAGAATGTACTGGAAAGTTTGGCATAGGGCAGAGAAACGAAAGAGGAGACCGTTTAATCGAATTTGCTATCACAAACAACTACTCCATCATGAATACTCGATTTAAACACCATGTACGTCGACTTTATACCTGGAAAAGTCCTGGAGATAGATTTAGAAATCAAATAGATTACGTCCTCACCAATATTCGCTGGAGATCGTCCATTCAAACAGTCAGATCATATCCAGGGGCGATATGCGGATCCGATCATACTCTCCTCGTAGCTAAAGTAATGCTTAAACTTAAAGCACCCAACAAACAAAGAGAGATAAAGAGGATAGAACTAAGAAAGAAAGAAGACCTACTACAGGAAGTACAGAAAAAAAAGTATGCCCTCTATTCGTAACGGAACATCACAAGAAATATGGGAGACTGTTAAACATTGCGTAACAACACCAGTGGATCGCTCAAAGAAAAATAATCCGGTGAAACGGAAACACTGGATAACAGATGAAACTCTTAAAATAATTGAGAATAGAAGAAATCTTTGTAAAAGTGGTGTACATAGTGAAAGGGAAAAAGCTAGTTTAAGAAACCTCAATAAAGAAATAAAACGAAGATGTAAGGCCGACAAAAAACAGTACTATCAAAGTATATGCAAAGAAATTGAGAGACATGGTCAGAATAATCAGCCGAGAGATCTATTTAGAAAAATACGCTACCTGACAAGAGACTTAAGAGCCAGAACTTGGGCCATTGAAGATAACACTGGAACCCTGAGAACAAACAGAGAAGACATAGCAGAGACATGGAGATCGTATTGCAGGGACCTATATAAAGATGATCAACGCCAAGAGCTTGTTAGCCAAATCTCTGACGAGGTGGAAGAAGAACCTGATATACTCGAAAATGAAGTAAGACAGGCTATCAACAAGCTCAAATATAACAAAGCACCATGTCCAGATATGATAACAGCAGAAATGCTTAAAGCCACAGAAGAAACCGGCGTAAAGTTACTTCATCTACTCTGTAACCAAATATGGCATTCCAAACAATGGCCTGAAGACTGGACAAAATCTACAATAACGACCATACACAAAAAAGGCAGCTTCCATAAATGCGACAATTATAGAACTATCTCTCTTATATCCCATGCCAGCAAGATAATGCTACATATAATCAATGAGAGACTGAAAACATTCCTTCAAAGAGAAATTCCATAAGAGCAAACTGGATTTACCAAAGGTAGAGGTACTCGAGAACACCTGCTGAATATAAGACAGATAATCGAGAAATCTAGGGAATTCAACATCCCACTATACATCTGTTTTATAGATTACCGTAAAGCGTTCGACAGGGTCAAGTGGAGACACTTATGGCGAATACTAAAAGAAGTAGGCGTACCACAACATCTAATTACGCTTATAACCGAACTATATGAACACACTACTGGATCAGTTAAAGTACTTGACACACTTTCGAACGAATTTCATCCAGAATGGGGTGTCAGACAAGGATGTATACTATCTCCACAATTATTCAACATATATGGGGAGTATATTATGCGAAGAGCACTTAAAGGATGGGAAAAGGGCATCTCAATAAATGGTCATAAACTAAACAACCTACGTTTCGCAGATGACACAGCCCTTCTTGCAAATAGTCAAGCAGATCTGATAGAACTTATACGACTGATCGAAAACGAAACTCAAATATTTGGTCTGCAATTAAACATATCAAAGACAAAGATCATGATAGTGGATAGACTACACAACAATCATCCACACATAACCACAATTGACCAGTTCGAGGTTGTGAGCTCATACTTATATCTGGGATCATTAATCACAAACACAGGGTCATTACAAGAAGAGATTAAACGTAGATCTGATCTAGCAAAAGTTGCCACAGCAAAAATGACCAAAATATGAAAGGACTGTCAAATTTCAAGAGCGATAAAGATTAGGTTGATCAACTGCTTAATATTCCCAATACTGACCTACGGATGTGAATCTTGGACTCTGAGACAATCGGAGAGAAGAAAGACAGACGCCACTGAAATGTTCTGTTGGAGACGAATGTTACGAATTCCTTGGACCGACCGCAGAACAAATAATTCAATTTTAAGAGAGCTAAAAGTTAGCCAACGACTCTCTAGTAAAGTCCATCTCCAACAATTAAAATATTTTGGGCATGTTATGAGAGCAAACACAGAAAACATGAAAAGACTCATAATACAAGGAAAGGTAGAAGGCCGAAGATCACGAGGAAGATCCCCAACAAGATGGATAGATCAAATTACAGGAATATGCCAAAGACCTATGCATGAATTAAAAGAAATGACCAGAGACACAGATCTCTGGAGACGGACAATACACGACATCACTTCGACCACTACACTCCCCCTGGGGGGTCAGGATTGAAGAGAGAGAATCTTAATCTACCACTAGAGATCTGTTCAATGATGCGAGACTTTCAAATTTGTCAATGACGTTCTGTTCAATGATGTGAGACTTTCTTCTTGTCCCCCTATTTCAAATAGGGGGACAGGAAGAACCCCTATTTTAAGATCCAGAAGTCTTATACGAAAACGTCGTCTAATAAGAAACAATATTTGATAACTTCAATGTTATAAATCTTCAATTTTTATGGATGAGTCTAGATTTTGCCTAAGTTGTCTTTGTGTGTATGAGCATAAGAGCGAAAGATAATTACTTATTTTCATTTCAAGTAGTCGTTCTATTTGATGTTTTTTGCAGGAATCCCTTCTTCTAGGGGGTTGTTGCCATGGGAGAATACTACTTGATTCCTCCATTCTAATTACATGGCCAAACCAAATAAAACCTTTCTTCTCGATACGCTCAACAACTGTTTCTAAATTTTTTATTTTCTTCGCTGCATTTCCGGTCGAGTTTAGAGATACAAGCAGATCGTCGTAAATAATTGATCTTTAACTGCTGAAAGTCATATTTTGTCTGCCAAATTCCTCATTGCCCATTGACCAATTCTCTTTTTATTAGTTTTGCTATAATTATTTTAGCTGTCTCATTTATAACCACTCTAAGGTATTTAAATTTAATAGACAAGACGGTTGATTAACAGTAGAATTGACCACAGATATACGGAACTAATAGCCAATATATATAAGATAGTCAAAACAACAATTAAAGTATATGAAGGAACAAAATCAATACAAATAAATAGAGCTCACGCCTCTCAGGGTGACACAATATCAGCATAACTTTTCAATCAGGCTCTGGAAGATACTTTTAAAAGTTTAGAATGGGAAGAAAAAGGTATAAAAATTTGTGGACAACGCTTGAACCATCTAAGGTACGCTGATGACATCGTATTAATAACCGATAAAAAAAGAAGTATTATTTCAAATGATGAAAGAACTGAACGTAGAAGCTGGAAAGATAGGCCTTAATATGAATTACAGCAAGACCAAAACCATAACAAATACAGATGAAGACATCACAATGAGAATCGGAGAAGATGAAATAGAACAAATTCAGGATTATATATCTGAGTCAAACTATAAAACTTAACAAAGAAAACCAAACAGCATAGATAAAAAGACGAACTACACTGGCATGGGCGGCATTTGGCAAACTAGACTACATTCTTAAAAACAAAAGAGATCCACAGCATCTTAAGACCAAAGTATACAATCAATGCGTAATCCCTGTTCTTACTTATGATTCCCAAACGTGGACATTTACAAACATGGACAAAATCATAAAAACCAAAAGAGAAACGAGTGGATAAGAGAGAAAACAAAAGTGAGGGATGTTAGACAAGAAGTTGCAAAATTGAAATGAAGATTTGCCGGACACAATATAAGACAAAAAGAAGACCGATGGAACAAAATTCTTATAAGTTGGAGACCGTGGGAATATAAACGAAGCAGAGAAAGGCCCCAAATGAGGTGGGCAGATGATATCAAGAAGCATGTGGGCTCTGTATCGTATCAGGAGGATGACTGTAGCGACAGACAGAGAAGAATGGAAAAGGATTGGGGAGACCTATATCCAAAGATGGACCGAAGAAGCCTAATTAGATAGATAGATAGACAAGATGGTTATTGGTTTGTATGACTTTGATGTTAGGTCTGATACTTTACCTACCATAGGCAAGCATATGAATTTAACCTTGTGCCATATTTCCAATGAAATATCTGAAGTTTGTGAAAATTTTGCAAAAACAACCATAATACTAACGAAATCTTGACAGTAGAGGGCCTAGCAGATCGAAAGAGTAAAAAAGTACACTTACATAGCTATTAAAACATTAGCTATTAAAGTACACCTAACAAAATGTTACGTATACAGTGTACTATACTATGGAGTGGCATCATGGACGTTAAATCTAGACACAATGAGACGACTTAACGCCTTTGAAATGTGGACTTATAGAAGAATTATGAGGGTTTCCTGGTTAGATAGAGTTACGAACAATGAAGTACTGAGAAGAATCGGCAAAGAAAAGGAAGTTGAAGTTACAATTAAAGAAAGAAAGCTACAGTATCTCGAACATGTGATGCGGGGCGAGAAGTATGGCATCCCGCGACTCATAATGCAAGGAAAGATAGATGGCAGAAGAAGCATCGGAGGAAGACGAATTTCATAGCTTAAGAACCTGAGAGAATGGTTTGGATGCAGCTCAAAACAACTATTTAGAGCTACTGCCTGAAAAATTAAAATAGCTATGAGGATTGCCAACCTCCGTAGCGGAGATGGCACCTGAAGACCTAACCTAACCTAACCTAACCTGAAGAAGAAGAAGATATTTCCGATACGACCCCTCATTCTTTTCTGGCATTGAGGAACTTGCATATGTGTAGTATCAACACCTTTAATCCCATATGCAAAAGTATCGGATGTTGCTGTACAATTCAGTACTATACTTATGTGTATGTTGGCAATACATTTTATTTTTATTGATGTCTGATGACTTACTTGTCACTTGTCACTGGTATCTGTATACCTTACACTTGTACTTGTAAAACAATAAAACTGATTTCTTTTCTAATTAAATACATATAATAATAGTGTTAGTGTATCATATATCTGGTATATCGGTATCATTTAGAATTGTTAATATTAAATAGAACAAACGCATGGTTGAAAAGAAAAGAAACACGAAAAAATAAATTGATAACTTCTGAGGATCCCACATAACTCTATTAATGGTAAAAAAATGACAGAAAACAAGACGAAAATAAAAGTAGGAAGAAAGAGTAACGGGGTATTTTCACAAATCTTTGAACCTCAAGGCCTCTGTTCTTATTTTTATATAAATACTTACCAATTACCATGGGGTCTTTGACAACAAATGGTCCACATCTTCCACTAACTAGGTAATGAACGTCAGAACCGCAAATTCCTACTACTTCCATCTGAAGAAGGACCTCTAAAATAAAAAAAAAACAGGCATTAGAAAATTAACGTTTAAAACATATTTAAAGCTTAAACATAATTATTAAATTTTCCCCTTTTTATTGAGAAATAAATTTTAACCATTACATAAGTTTGGATGTCTGAATTTTAAAAAGAGAAGGTTCCAAAGCTTTAATGCACATGTTTTTGGTGGGGCTAGATCGAAATGCACCTAGACATATACGTAAGGAGGTCGTTTATATTGAATTTAAGGATTTAAGATAAATATTACAGGCGGTCATGTAGAGCATGCATCCATAATCTAATCTAAGAGCGACTAAGAGCTTTATAGTCTCAATAACATATTTTCATCAGCTCCCCATTAATGATGTGAAACTGTTTTCAGTATGTTTAGTTTACCAGCACAGTTGTCCTTTAGATTTTTTAAGTGTATTTTCCAGTCTAACCTCTGATCGAATAATAGCCCTTAGATTTTATAATGATTTACTGTATGTAAAGGAACATCGTTTAGATATATATTTCCGGGTTTTGAATACTTTCCTTTTTGGTAAATCTTAGTATCTCAGATTTTTGTGTGGACCACGAATATTTACGTTGTTTACAGCATTTTGAATAAGATTTGATGTAATGGATATGTTTGCCCCACTACAGTAAATAAGCAGATCATCAGCGTACAGTAGAGCTATTACCGGTAGACGAACTTCTTTTGAGATGTCATTAATTTCTAAGTTAAACAGAGTTGGACTTAAAACAGAGCCCTGAGGTACACCATTGAGTTGTTCGAGAACATTTGCCTCATTACCGTTTATTGTAACTTAAAATTTACGGTGATTTATAAAAGTTATCTATGAACGTGTAAATATTGCCTGTAATATTATTATCGATAAGTTTCTGTAATATTACATTCTTTGTAGTCTATTATTGACTATTTTTTCCATTAATTTGCTCATGCAACATGTTAATGAGATCGGTCTATAAGATGATGGCTCTATGGAAGGTTTGTCGGGTTTTTTTATTGGAAGAATAATGGATTGTCTCCACAGGTTGGGAAAATGCATGTCTAATTTAAATATTATGTTTATATGGGATTAAGTTACAACTCCTATTGGTTGTAATGAAAATCACATTTTTAATAACTAGTGTTTGACATTTCGACTTCCACTACGAAATCATTCTCAAAAAAGATTATCATAAACAATTCTGGGAAAATTTATATCCAAAGTTATTAGGTTATGTCATTACAAAAACTGACATAGTCGGTATCGATCTTGTAGGTAGCAGCATGTAAATGGCTGATTTTGTCCCTCATTTACATGCTGCTACCTAGAAAAATCGAGAAAAGGTATGTAATTTTTAAAATGACATAACCTAACAACGAATTGGCAATGGAACCTGTGAGCAATTTGGTATGAAAATAAACATTAAAAAAACCAAAGTGATGTCAATCCGAAAAAACCAAAACCTACCTCAACCTTGCACAATAAATGGGCACATCTTAGAACAGGTCAATAGATTTAAGTACCTGGGATGTTGGATCGATAGCAGCCTAAATCCTGATCAAGAAATAAGATCGAGAATAGAACAGGCTAGAAAATCTTTCGAAAAAATAAAAAAACTGCTTTGTGATTCTCGAATAAAACTCGAAATTCGACTACGTTTATCAAAATGCTACGTCTGGTCGACTCTTCTATATGCAGTTGAAACGTGGACCCTTAAAACATCAACCGTAAATAAATTCGAGGCCTTTGAAATGTGGATCTACCGGAGAATACTCAAAATTTCATGGACATCGCATACCTCAAACGAAGAAGTGCTGCATAGAATAGGCAAGGAAAGAGAACTTTTTAACACAGTAAAAGTAAGAAAAACATCATACCTAGGCCACATACTGAGAAATTATAAGTACCAATATGCCCAACTTATAGTGAAAGGAAAAATCGAGGGAAAGAGAGGCCTAGGAAGGAAAAGACTATCATGGCTCAGAAACATCCGACAATGGACAGGGCTAAATTTTGAACAGCTAATAAGAACAGCTGAAGATAGAGAAGAGTTTAAAATTGTAGTAGCCAACCTCCAGCAAGAACAACGAATAACTTTGGTTATACATTTTTTCATAATTTTTTATAATACCTAATCTTTTTTGAGAACGATTTCCGAAGTGCAAGTCCAAACGTCAAACACTAGTTAGTTAACAATGTGATTTTCATTACAACCAATAATATTGTGGCTCAATCACATAAACATGATATTTAAACTCATCCCGTATATTTAAATTATTCTTATCTGTGACAACTACTTTACTCAATGTCACGATCTCCACGTGTTGCAACTATGTATGAAGTACCACAATTAAATGAGTATAGATCCAAGATGCGTAAATATTTTTAAAGTGGAGATTTATTGTAAAGTGGACCTATATTTCTTTATTGAGTCATACGGAGGTACGATGGTTATTTTTAAACTCTTTATTATAGGATACATCCTACATTGTTTTTAATTTCAGATTTAATAAGAGGTGAATTTTAAACTGGTTTAATCAATATTAATGACATATTAATGAACCAAATCAAAAATGATTTGAACTAATGTATAAATAATGTTTAGTTCAAACATTCACATGGTAATGAAAATTAAGATATTAGGTATTGCAAATCATAGAAATGAAAATACTTTAAAAATCCATAATGATATTGATCAACCAGCAACACAAACCAAATTAAAAGTTGGCAATAAGTAAGACATGCAGATAGAAATGACAAACAAAATAGAATAACCACGTAAACATAATGACCCAATACAGAGCAATGGGTTAACTGTTAAATGAGTTATAAACAAGTGCCAAAAATTCTTATCAACCCAAAATATTCTCCAAAGATCAAGTAAATAAAATAACCCACTCCAAAAAACAATAATGCTTATATTAATATCACAAATATCTTAAATGATCAAAACACTGAGCTTTTATCTCTCTCTACAATGGCGCTACAGCCCAAATCGATACTTGGTCTCCTCCAAACTATGCCTCCAGCCTTGCCGGTTCCGCGCCGATCTTCTCCAAGTTCTCACGTCTAACAAAAAGCTAGCAAAAATTTAACGAATTCTGAGATCGGTGCCTCTTTGACCAGTTATAGCGGGTAATAAGTTGATTTCCTTTGTTTCTTTGAAATAAAAAAAAATATCTGTGAGATAATACAGACTAAATTTTATTCATGGTTTTTAAAAGAATTCGATCAATTCAAGCGTTAAGTAATCCTTGCACATCAAGACACTTTTCAAATTAATGATCCGAGATCCCAGTCCTGCATCTGACTGGTGTATTCTTATACAGACCCGTTTCGGCAAGCCGATCCCAAGCTTGACGATTTACATAAAAAAATCAAGGGAATATTAGTCGATAGGCAACCAAATATACATTTCTCTCCGTACGCAGTGCACTGACTGGCTTTCCTGAGAGCGTATCGATCGATTCATTTTGTATTGATTTATTTTAATTTTTTAAAGTAATACTGTAGTAAGTTATCGTTGCCGTAAATGATTAAAGGGTTTTTTGATATATTTGAAGTTTTTTCTTTTGTAAAATTTAAGTGTAAATCAATTCAGGTAAATTAAGCTAAAAAAATGCAAGTATGGAAGCAACTTTAAGTACTGATAAATCTGATATCGTAAATTATATTTAGCAAAATGAGTGTTCATCTATTCCATAAAAAGAATAAATTGATATTAAAAATAAAAAGCATCCTTTGTCTAAGATGTCCTGGCTTATAAATATTAGAACGGGGGTAAGTAAAGTAATAGATTATTTTTGGATAATTGGTACAGCAAGTACTCATGGCTTACCGGGAGCGAAATAAAAAACAAACTTTTCTGTGGGCCTTGCATCTTATTTTCGACAAATAAGGTAAACATTAAAATTCGTGGTGTGAATCTGGTTACGAAAATTTAAAGGAACTATTTAGGGCATTACAGAAATATGATATTTTGAAAGATCATACATAGAGCCAGATTAAATTAAATTTATTTGGAAAACAAAATATTTATTTCATGTTTCATTAGATAATGTGGTTAGGAAACCATTTGCTTTTCTCTAGAAGTAGATGAAACTACTGATATATCATGTCATTCAGAATTATTATCAATTGTTGCTCGATACTCATTATAACTTGGTAATGTATTTATACTTGATAATATTTATGAGAGGCTTTTAGGTTTTACAGACGTGAGTAACAGCCACCAAAAATCCACCATTGACAAAATCGTATTCGTTTCCAATATGAGTTATTATGAGTCTGCGTCTTTTTCCAACGGGGATATTGTTTATTCCAGTAGATACACCTTCGATGAATGCCTAACGGGAACTTTTCACATTTGTATCAACCCATAGATATGGTACAGTATGACCTTCAGTTAGCCAAGTCTCGTCCAAATAAAAATTGTTTTCCCTTCTTCTCGGTACTTTTTAATAGTTCTTAGATAATCTCGTCTCCAACATACAATGTAATCTTTTTTCATTAAAACGGATTTTCTTCTATTCTTTTGCCAACGAAATCCCACCTCTCTCAATAGTCCCCATAATTTCTTGTTGCTTATGATTGGTAACTCTTCGTTTTCTCTAATTAATGTTTGAATTTTGTCTAATGTTGGAAATTCTTTGTTAAAAAAAAATGAGTGGACGCTGCGTCTTATCATGTTTTTATGTATTTCTTCAATTTCCAAGGGTTTACTCCCTCCACTCTTCTTGAGAGATGAAACAGTTCCTCCTTTTCTTTCTTTTAGGATACTATAAATTGTTGCTTCTCCAACCCCTGTCATATTTGAACACATGTTAACGATTTCACGAATTTTACTTAAAGGGCGTTGATGTACAAGTGCATCGTGTACATTTAATATTATATTTTTCTCTTTTAGACCGAAGACACCTTTAAAACTACACTTAACCGGGATAAAACCTGTTGTCGACTTTATTTTTAAATGCAAATAACAAAATATCGACACCAAAAACGTACCACTGTACAA